ATAAAAATATACATTTGTGTCTAAATTCTGTGTATCTAAAATGTTGTATTGCGCCCTCGCTCCTCTTCGCCCCCTCAGGAGGACGGACGAGTCTGGTGGAGGAAGGAAGAGGAGCCCCGGAGGAGCGGAGGGAGCCCAGCCGAGGAGCCCTGCCCGGTCCAGGGTGCAGCTCCCCCAGGAGACGGCGAGGCTGCGGGGCTGCGGAAGGGCCTCCCCCAAAGGCGATGATCCGGAGCCAAGAGGGACCCCATGAGAGGAGGGTGGCTGGAAAGAGAGGCCGGAAGGAGGAAAAGGTCAACATGCCCGGAGAAGCCCAAACGTTCTTCGAGTGCAGAGAGTTCTTCAGAACAAATGGAAGTCTCAAACATCATCAAAGAATACACTCAGGAGAGAAACCCTATAAATGTCTGGAGTGTGGAAAAAGCTTTACTGAGTGTGGATCCCTCTGTCAACATCAAAGAATTCACACCAGAGAAAAAACACATACATGTCTGGAATGTGGAAAGAGTTTCAGCCGTAGGGGAAGCCTTTATATGCATCAAAGAATCCATTCAGGAGAGAAACCATATAAATGCCTAGAATGTGGAAAGAGTTTCAGTCAGAGGGGAAGCCTTTATATACATCAGAGAATCCATTCGGGAGAGAAACCGTATAAATGTCCGGAGTGTGGAAAGAGTTTCAGTCAGAGGGGAAGCCTTTATACACATGAAAGAATCCATACAGGAGAGAAACTCTGTAAATGCCTGGAGTGTGGAAAGAGTTTCAGTCAGAGAGGACATCTCAGGATACATCAAAGAATTCACACAGGAGAGAAACCATATAAATGCCTGGAGAATGGAAAAAGCTTCAGTCTGTGGGGAAGCCTTTATACACATCAAAGAATCCATTCAGGAGCGAAACCATATAAATGCCTGGAGTGTGGAAAGAGCTTTGCTGAGGGTGGACACCTCAGTCAACACCTAAGGATTCACACAGGAGAAAAACCATATAAATGCCTGGAATGTGGAAAAAGTTTCAGTCAGAGGGGAAGCCTTTATACACATCAAAGAATCCATTCAGGAGAGAAACCATATAAATGTCTGGAGTGTGGAAAGAGCTTTACTGTGGGTGGACACCTTCATCGACATCAAAGAATCCATTCAGGAGAGAAACCGTATAAATGCCTGGAGTGCGGAAAGAGTTTCAGTCAGAGGGGAAGCCTTTATATACATCAAAGAATCCATTCAGGAGAGAAACCGTATAAATGCCTGGAATGTGGAAAGAGTTTCAGTCAGAGGGGAAGCCTTTATATACATCAAAGCATCCATTCAGGAGAGAAACCGTATAAATGTCTGAAATGTGGAAAGAGTTTCAGCCAGAGGGGAAGGCTTTATAGACATGAAAGAATCCATACAGGAGAGAAACTCTGTAAATGCCTGGAGTGTGGGAAGAGTTTCAGTCAGAGAGGACATCTCAGGATACATCAAAGAATTCACACAGGAGAGAAACCATATAAAGGCCTGGAGAGTGGAAAAAGCTTCATTGTGATGGGAAACCTTTATACACATCAAAGAATCCATTCAGGAGAGAAACCATACAAATGCCTGGAGTGTGGAAAGAGCTTTGCTGAGGGTGGACACCTCAGTCGACACCTAAGGATTCACACAGGAGAAAAACCATATAAATGCCTGGAATGTGGAAAAAGTTTCAGTCAGAGGGGAAGCCTTTATACACACCAAAGAATCCATTCAGGAGAGAAACCATATAAATGCCTGGAATGTGGAAAGAGCTTCATTAGAAATGAACAACTCAAAACTCATCAAAGAATCCACTCAGGAGAGAAACCATATAAATGTGTGGAGTGTGGAAAGAGTTTTAGTCAGAGGGGAAGCCTCTATATGCATCAAAGAATCCATTCAGGAGAGAAACCGTATAAATGCCTGGAGTGTGGAAAGAGCTTTAGTCGCAGAGGAAACCTTGATAGACATCAAAGAATCCATTCAGGACAATCTATTCATATAAATACCTGGAGTGTGGAAAGAGTTTCAGTTAGAGAGGACATCTCAGGATACATCAAAGAATTCACATGCGAGAAAAACCATATAAAAACCTGCAATGTGGAAAGAACTTCAGTTACAGGGGAAGCCTTTATAGACATCAAAGAATCCATTTAGGAGATAAATTGTATAAATGCCTTGAATATGGGAAGAGTTCTAATGAGAGTAGAAGCTTTTATAAACATGAAAGAATGCATTCAGGAGAAGAACTATATATATGGCTGGAGTCAGTGAAGATGTAAACAAGAAAGTTTATGAATGCATGGAATCTTGAAAATCCTTCAGAAAAATTGGAAATCTCCAAAATCATCTAAGAATCCACATGGATGAGAAACCATAGAAATTACAATCCAATAAGGTACAGGTGTGGACCCTTCATCACCATCAAAACCTGTGTGTCAACTTGAGTGAATACTGTATTATCAGCTCAAAAATTCAAGGGCATGCAAACTTCTGAACAGGACCATTTTACTATTTCCATTATTGCTATGGTTTGTTTAATGATTATGCTCTTCTGTGATGCCTAATAGTTTAATTTGAATCACATTGCAAATTAAAAAGTTTATTATCTGATCAGTCATGTTTTCTTACAAAATAATTGCCGCCCAAGACTGTGGCTCCCAGCATCCCCGGCGCCCTACCTACATCCGGGCTCTGCTGCCGAACCATGAAGCACCTTCCATTGACAGATTCCAGAAGTGTGGACGGGAACTCCTGGCATGCCGTTTCTGAGGAAGCTCATCCTCTTCCTTCCAAGGGGCTGCCCCTGGGAGTCCTCCCGCCAATCGCTTTCACCACCGGCCCCCAAACAGCCAGTCCTTGTCTGCCTCCCTCAATGTGCTTGATGGCAGCCAGCGCAGTGTGGAGGGGCGTCTTGGGCCTGGTGCAGAGGAGAGGTGAGGTGCTCCCATTGATCTTTGGGGGCCCTGGCCCTGCCTTCCTGGATCCAGGGGATGTCCTCCTGGGGGTATCCAGGCAACTGGGGACTAAAGGGGCTGCTCGCTTCACCCTTCTGGGGGGCTCCAGCCCGTCCCGCCCCCTCATCCTGAGAGAGATGGGGGATAAAGGAAGTCATGCAGACAGGCTGTGAAGGGGGCTCCTTTCTTGCCCCTCCTGGGTACAGTGACTACAGTCATTTATTATCATATAATCTAATAATCTAATATAATTTTATAATACAGAATCATAACCCCCACATTGTGAGGAGGAGGAGAAGAGGTTGTCACAAGGAAGGAAACCCAAAGTCAGGACATGCAAGGAAAGAAAAGGAAATTTAGCTCAGTTGATTCACTAAACCTCTCAGGGCCGTTCTGTTTTTGCTTCCACCAATATGTTTGCTTCACTCATTTCCTTTCTTCAAACTTCTCACTTCCATATAACAAAGAGAGAAGGACCTTCTTGTGTTTTCAGACCTTCTGCAGGTATTAATTCCCTTCAGTGGATAGCATGCAACCTGCTCCCTTTGTAGGAACGTTTGAAGCATGTGTGAGATATGAACATGAAATAATTTGCAGATAGGTCAGATAGGAGCAGTGCATAAGAAATGAAGGTGGTTTTATGTGGTTATGGATGAATATATCAGGAATCCTTGTGAAGATGGTAGAGATGTCATGGCTGGGAACACGTGTGCACTTTTGTATCTAAATGGTGCACTTATCGAATGAGAACCCAAACAATTTCCAACATGGGAAAGAAACTCTATAAATTCCTGGAGTGTGCAAGGAGCTTTACTGATGGTAGACACCTTGGCTGACATGAAAGAATTCACACAGGAGAAAAACTAGAAATGCCTGGAGTGTGGAAAGAGATTCAGTCTGAGGGGAAGCCTTTATAGAGATCAAGGAATCCATTCAGGAGAAAAATCCTGTAAATGCCTGGAGTGTGGAAAGAGCTTCTGTCAGACATCTCAGGATACATCAAAGAATTCACATGGAAGAATAACCATAGAGTGGAACCCTTTATAGACATCAAAGAATCCATTCAGGAGAAGAACCGTATAAATGGCTGGAGTCAGTCACAATGTAGGTTTCAGTAAACATTACAAATTTTACACAGAGAAGGGAGTTCATAAATGCATGGAGTGTGAAAAATCCAGCCCTGTCAGAGTCCTTTCTGAAGCAGTATTGGGGTGGTTAGCACATCATGTGAGTTACATCTGACTTGCAATAATAGAATTTTCATACACTAAGAAAAAATAAATATCCATCTGTCCTGTATGCTTCAAGTTCCTCTGCAAGATTTCCCTTGAAATGAAATCAAATGCCAATTTAAAATCTACAAAGGCTATATACAGTAATTATATCCATTCCATTTTCATTTGTTTTATTATTTGCAAGGGTATGTTCCTCATATATCAAAAGAAAAGTGTCTGCCCCATGGATTACAGAATAAGAAATGGCGGGTGCCATTTAGTTGGGTCAGTTTCAACGTATTTCACAGCAAATCGAGATCTTTGGGATAACGTAGAGGGGTACCCATAGTCCTGGCTGCATCAGTAGGGCTCAGTCATTCGCCTTGTCCTTCTCCGAATCTGGTGGTGTCCAAAACTGGACAGAGTCTTTGAGGTGCAGGTAGACCGAAGCCGAACCAAGTGGAACAATTCTTC